AAATTTATTATCTAAATTAGGTAGATAACAGTGGAGAACAGTTAAAATACATGTTGATCTCCAAAATAGCCTACAGAGACCCTCTCTCACCAGCTTCCTCACAAAGGGCTGCACTTTAGGATTTCTGCAGATCATATCTGCTGCCCTGGCATGTCTGGCTGCTGGCAGGCTAATTACACAGTCAAATTTAATTAAATGTTTTCAAGTAAGAAATAAATAATCAATATCTGTCATGGTACCAAATGAGTGCTGCTGACAGACAACCCTGCTGCAATCCTGTGGAGTGAGCACATGCTTGGTGCAGGGAAAGGGAATGGCTTTGCAAGGCAGGTGTCAGGTAATTAGGGAAAAAAAGGGAAGAGACAAACATGGAGGAGGGAGAAATCAGAGCTCTCAGAGGACAGCAGCCATAAATTTGAAATAAGGAATTAAGATGTGTTTGCTCATGTTTAATTCATGCACCACTATTGGCTAGTAGGATTAGTTCTCATAAATGAGCAAACTGCCATGACTGGACAAAAATTGGGGGGGGAAAAAAAAAAAAAAAGAAAAAAAGGTAAAAATAGAAAAAGAAGTAGTGAATTACCAGCACAACACCCTCTCTGTCAAGCAGAATCACATTTACAAAACAACATCAGTTTAGCACACTGTTACAATCCTGCAGGTCTGGAACCACCGGCACACATTTTGATTCTGCTGAAAAAGAACTTACAAATGCCACCTCCTGAGCTGATTGATTTCCCCTTACCTGAATCAAAACATGAATCTGTTGGGGTTCCATCCCTAAGTGCTATAACCCTTTAATAAGGAACGAAAAAAAGATCCACTTTGGACCACAGACCTTTCGAGGAAACACGAAAACCTACATGTTCTTTTGATCCAGAAGCAGAACAAGAACTTGGATTACTGCTGCAGGAGTTTCCTCTCTAAACCCCTTCACCTGCCCTGGATGAGCCTGCTGGGATTTGTCACCTTCCTGCAGCCATTTGCCAAGGGCAGTCATTGACATTTTTGCCTGGCAGATAGCACCACTCTTTTAAAAACCCCTGCTTTGCCAGACAAGAATTCAGCTGCTTAGCAGCCAGTTTGGCCACTGACTTTGACTCGGTGACTCACCAGAATTTCTTTGTCAGGTGTCTCAGGCCAAGAGCCCTGTATTATTATTATTAGAGAGCAGCAAGCTCTGCTTAAGGGAAGGACATAAAAGAGGTGAAGTGGATTGACTTCAGCACACAGGTACAGCTTGCTGAAGTGTTTCCACGAGCAGGGATACTCTGGATACGACCCCACTGCTACTGAGGGAATACTTCTGGTTTCAGTAGAGCCACAAAAACCAGCAATAAACTCAGCAGGCTGCAGAGACAAGTCCTGTGCTTTCCAAGAGCTGTTGGTCAGGATCTGTGCCTGAGATTAAACAGCTGTTTTTCTGCAGTTCCCAAGACTTTTGCTGTAGCACATCAGGCTCAGACAGACAGTGGGCTCGTTTTTGCAGGCACTCCATTTATCCTGGGTTTATCACATGGATGAGGTATGCAGGACTCGGCCCAATATGAAGAGAAAGTCATGCAACTTCTGCTTTAATAAGCTGGATCCAAACAGCAAAACCCACGTGGTCAGACTGATGGCAAAAAATTAACAAGGTTTCTTTTTTTTTCTTTTTTTTCTTTTTTTTTTTTTTTATTGTAGTCTAAAGATTTCCACCCACTTTCAGACCACACATAATGGATTCCTGTATTTCTACAGTGATGGCTGTACTTCAGACAATTTATTTAAGCACTTTAAGCCTTTTACTGATAAAACTGGTAGTTAAAATTGTCCATTTTATTTTTAGAATCCCAACCATGTGCATCAGCAACTGCAGGCCATCATTTAAGGGATTTTTTTTTCTATTCTCCTCATCTCTACCCAATAACCTTCATGTCCTGGTATAATTAATTACCAATGT